CCCCAAAACCCCAAAACCCCAAAACCCCAAAACCCCTATTTTTGAAAATATTATTGAAATTAGAAATTTATGCTAGTGGAGCTATCTCTGATATCAAAATTGTAGGGAATATATATGTTTAGAACATCCTTCGGTTGCCATAGCCATTCTTGAGATATTTGTCATCATCGTTTAGCACCCCTGACACAAAATAATTTGGGCCTTTGCCCATATTTTTGATTTGAGGGCTATAGTATAATTTCGAAGTGGCTTACCCTCCTCTAGTGTGCCTTGTATGATCCTTATAAGGCCTTTTGAGGTAATCTCGCTCCTCCAGATCATGTTTGATCTTATCCATATCAGCAATCTCTATAGAAATCACAAAGAATGAGCTTACCAGTACCAAAGATAGCATTCTGCCCTACCTTCAGCATACGAAGAATTCGGTGATCTGAGAAATGCTTCGGGAGATCCTTCACGCTTTTATACGTAGTCAGTGGCTTCTTCTCCACTGGTGCAAATTCAGCATCCAACATTGAATATTTGTTATGATATTTAGGAAATTTTGGCTTAAAAGGTTTATCTGGTGTCTTAGTCTCCTCACGAATAAAGTGCTTATAGATCCTCCCAGTATCAGCCTTGTACTCTTTGATCTTCTGTCTGTAAAAGGCTCTAGGGTCATGATCTGGATGGTAAAAGTCCTTGTTCATAAAGTACGTAGGGCTTATTTCTTTCTCATCCTTCTCATTAATCACCATGTTTTCGAAGAATGGGTGCTTCAGACATTCTTCAGCAGAGAATCTGTATTTGGGATGCATCATCAACATCTTGTAGATCAAGTCTATGGCTTCTGGAGAACAGTTCTTCAGAGATGTAGAGATAGGAGATGGATCCAAGGTTGTATCTGTTGATTTCTGGTATTGAATTGGGAACCGATAGTCCATTTCTAGAGATAAGTCATATGCTTCAGGCCACATTGACTCCTTTGGAGTTCCCAGTAAAGCACACATCTGATTCAATTGCGAAGGATTATCTAGACCACTAATAAGAGGTTTGTTGGCCATCAAGTAGCAAAAGATAAGCCCAAGAGAGAAAATATCTCATTTCTCATCATAAGTAGTACTTCCAAGAAGAACTTCAGGTGCTTTAAAGAAGTTTGTTCCTACATTAGTTGGTTTATTCTTCGAATATTTATCTACACAAGTGGATAAATCTCCGATTAACGTCTTTCCTTTCTCTTCATGTATGAACAAATGAGCAGGTTTGAGATTACAATGAGCAAATCCATGATCGTGGAGGGCCTTCAGTCCCTTCAGAGCATCATAGATAATTCCTTTGACTCTAGCTTCAGCGCCTACATCTGTTGATTTCCTATCAATCATTTTCTGTACATTGAAGTCCATGTACTCAAACACCAGATTCAGCTTTGAAGCCTGAATGCCTATCTTTGCTTTCTGGTTCTCTTCGAGAATGACGTCCTTCAGAGTCACAATATTTTCATGGCTCAATTTCCTTGCTACAAAGACCTCTGGTAACTTCATGACTTGTGCCCAGTCCTGAAACCTCTCTGATGTGTACTCTTTAATTGCGTATATCTATACAGGGATTTCATCGATTATTTTAAGAAAATTTGGTTCAGAATACTTCAATCTTTAAGGAATCTTGCCAATTATCTCCCCCAAGAGTTTCAGATCGATCAAAATTAGCTAAAAATTCAGGGTTGATGGTTAAAAATCCCTTGAGTTTTATGTTTAAATAGGTCTTATCCCAACCAGTAAGCCTCCATATAAAAGCCTAGGCTGCTCTTACCTTGCCAGTTTCGTAATCTTGAGCTTTATACACATAAGTTTTATGTGGTCCAGTCTCGCCGTAGTCAATCGACTCAATAAATTTGTACTTCTCTTCTATCATTTATATGTTCAATTATTTTATAATCTTCAGGGGTTTTGGGGTTTTGGGGTTTTGGGG